TTCTTTGTGTGTTGTTCATATTTTTCCTGAAATCTTTTACACATTCTTCACCAAAGACTTCAGACAGAAATTCAGAACACCTGAGGGCCCAGTATGCTGTCTTGTTATAATTCTGTCAAAATCAAAGGCTGTATAGCAACAAATGGCAGGGTTATGGTAAAAAAATCAGATCTCCAAATGTTGACAATTTAAACATTTTTAAAAAACCATGAATATAACATAGCATATATATATATCCTTTAAGAGATGGGCCATTTAAATTCCGGTAATGGCAGCAGCCTGGAGTTAATTTAAATGCCTGCAATTGTAGAGTATTAACAGTTGTAAGCATGTTACTGAAAATGCTGTGATTTCTACAATTTTTGTGATGAACAAACGAAATAAACGCTGCTTTTATCTAGAAAGAATATAGAATGAGATATTGTACGTGTAATTTACCGATTATAAAATCTGTAAAAATTGTTACACTGATTCCAAAAAGATTTTTTCCCCAATTTTGAGCGTCTGTCCACAAATTTGTATACAGTTTCTGCAGTATAAATGCATGCTGCTGACATCATGTTTTACTGTGTCTTATCTGGCAAAAGGAGTGGAAGTTTATGTTTGTATTGCACATTCTCCAGTCACGTCGGAACCTTTCTGTATGCATGAGTGTGGGCGAAGTATTATCGTATTTTGTCCTTCAGAAACTCTTGTCTGTGTACGTATATATCGGACTACTCACACAGAGGTACTGTTCTAGGAATAGCCCTGCACTGCCAGAATATTCAAGCCTGGCGCATTGTGTTGTGTTGTGTACAAAACATCGCTATTTCAACTATCCACCATGGCCTCATGTTGCATGGAAGAAGCCAAAATTGAGAAGCAGCTGATAAATGATACCGATTCCAACTGCAGTACAGATGACTCTGAGTGGGGCAAGGAAGCATGGGGCTCAGAAACGGAACTCAACGATGACCCATCATCTTCGTTGGCAACCTGAAGACCACCAGACCAGCATGGCAGGAGGGATGTGAATAATTATTCTGGTGGAGCTGTGGGGTTNATAAAACATCGCTATTTCAACTATCCACCATGGCCTCATGTTGCATGGAAGAAGCCAAAATTGAGAAGCAGCTGATAAATGATACCGATTCCAACTGCAGTACAGACGACTCTGAGTGGGGCAAGGAAGCAAGGGGCTCAGAAACGGAACTCAACGATGACCCATCATCTTCGTTGGCAACCTGAAGACCACCAGACCAGCATGGCAGGAGGGATGTGAATAATTATTCTGGTGGAGCTGTGGGGTTAAATATCAATGAAGCTCCACACGTAAATAAGGATTCCACCCCTTTCTGCGTTTTCATGCTCTACTTCGCAGGGATTATCCATCTGCTGGTGGAAGAGATGAACAGGTACTACCACCAGTACCTAGACAGACTTCAAGACGGACCTTCTTTGCGGCCTGACGTGACCGACTCTGAGATCTTTCTGTTTCTAGGAATAATCATTCAAATGGGACATGACATTGGAGACAGACTAAAGGACTACTGGTCGACTGTAGAACAATTTGCCATGCCTTTCTTCTCTAACACAATGAAACGCGACCGTTTTCTACACATTCTTCATTTTCATTTTGCAGACAATACAGAAACTGACAGGAATGCCGACAGTTATGACCGACTATGGAAAATCTGGACCATCTTCTACACTCTCAGTGACGCATATGAAAAAATATTATAACCCTTCCGAACATTTGGCCATAGACAAGATAATTGTTAAATTCAAAGGGAGGGTGGTTTTTAGGCAGTACATTCCTAAGAAACACAAACGTGTCGCAATCAAAAGCTTCAAAATTTGTGACGCCACTGAGTATACTTATGACATGAAGGTTTACCTAGAAAAAAGACAGGACACATGCTACAGTTAGGGACCTATGCAGATGTATTAAGGGTGTAGGTCACAAACTGTACATGGACAATTTCTTTTCGTCACCAGACTTGTTTGACAAACTGATGACAAAGGACATAACGTGCTGTGGGACAGTCAGACCTAATCGGAAGGGCTTGCCCCACGATTTTTGACGAAGACAATTTCGACTGAAGAAAGATGACATTCGTGTTAGGGTAAGACGGAACTTGACAGCACTACTAGTTTGGAAGGACGTGACATTTACATACTGACAAACATGCACTGTCTTCCAGCAGAAGGCAGTTTCTGTGATGAGCATGGAAATGCCATCAAGCCAGCAATTGTTGACTACAACATGCACGTGGGTTATGTCGACAAAGCAGACAGAACGGCAAACAGTTATAGCATCAGTCGTCGGACCTGGAAATGGACAAATAAACTATTTTTCCATCTCCTGAATCTGACGATTCTGAACAGTTTCATCCTGTTGTCATCCTGTGGCCCAAAATTGTCACACAGAGAATTTCGTCTCACCCTTGTGTGCAACATGCTGCAAGGGGTCCACCTCGCCCTCAACGGTTCATGGGTCGACCTGCTGTGTCATTGGTGATATCTCGATTAGAGGCCACTCGACATCACTGGCCGACTTCCTCTAATAAGAGACTGAGGTGTTGTGTGTGCTCTTTGCGTGGGAAATGGAGTTGCATCCGGACAAAGTGCATGAAGTGTGACATCGGACTCTGCATTTCCGGATGTTTCCAACAGTACCACACAAAGGCAACATTCAGTTAGATGACACAGGATAGAAGACTGTCTACTTATAAAGCTGGTGCCCAAAAATAATATAAGTAGAACAAGAATTTCTATCTTAAAATTAGATTTTAAAACACTGTGCACACACGTGGACTGTGCATACCTATAGAGTGATGCACAGCCACTCAGCTATACTTTAAAGGTCTCCATATGGTGTCGCTAGGCTCTTAAAGGATATATGAAAAGGTATTGTCACTAAAGAAAGCTGATATCCAGAAGCTGAGTAATTTATGGAGACCATTACCTTAATAAAACACAGGTGGCATCTTCAGAAAATAATGGTACAAGTACTGGGGCTGAAATGTGAAATATCAGTTTTCTCAAAAACAAGGAAAATGGTTGGATGCATTTTAATATATCAAATTTAATGAGAGTTACAGATAATTTTTATTAAGTATTTATTGCAAAACAGTAGAAGACAGATCGAGCACATGTATACATGGTGTGTCCAGGATCTGCTAGGACTCGTTTTTTTTTAATTCTGCCCTGCAATGCCATCTGTTGGTGAGTTGTGGCATTATGATTCTGAAGTTTCAGCTGTGGCTGCCTATAATTTGAAAGCACAAACATCGCTGCATCATGTGTTCTGACCTTGAATGTAACAGTACCGTTCTGACGCTCGTCGGAAAATGATGGTTGAACAGAGAGCCAACATCAAATTTTGTTTGAAGTTAGGCAAAACAGCTGGAGAAGCATATGAAATGATGAAAAGTGTGTATGGTAGTGATTGTTTGAGTTGCTCGAACATTTGTCAATGGTATGCTGTATTTCGTGATGGCAGGTGAAGATGCTCGACGTGCATCAAAGCCGAGAACAAGTCGCACTGAAGAAAATATGAAAAAAGTGACTGAAATCCTTGCATCAGGCAGATGTGTTTCTGCAAGACTCATCGAGGAGCTTCTGGGAATACTAAAAAGTACTGTGCATCAAATTTTGACCAGAAGGTCAAACAGTCAATTCTGATTACTATCTCGGAGTCCTCAATTGTTTGTGGGCAAGAATTCTTCGAATTCGATCCGAATATCGAGAGCAAGGTTCCTAGTCGCTCCTCCACGACAGTGCCCCACCCCACAAATCGAAGATCGTACACAATTTTTTGGCCAGAAAAGGGATCACAGTCATTGATCATCCTCCATATTTGCCAGATTTGGCTCCAGCAGATTTTTGGTTGTTCCCAAAAGTTAACTTGGCGATGAAAGGAGACCGTCATGACACCATCGAGGACATCCAAAGGGAATCTACCGCAGTTTTAAATGCGATTCCACAAAAGGAATACAGTGACTGTTTTTGCAAACTTTTCAGTTGATTCCAGCTACGTATTGATTCAGAAGGAGACTATTTTGAATAAAGAGTGAAATTTTTAAAATAATTCACATCTTGTATTTTTAATGAACACAGTCCTAACAGAACCTGGACACACTGTGTATAAGATAATTAAACAAATGTTACACAATGCATACATGTCTGGACATATATACTCAGAGACTAGCAGTGCTCTATGGAATAGTTTCCAAGGCAATGCAGTGAATTCAACAATGAATGTTTAAAAATCTCATCCCTTTGGGGATCTGGCCAGTCAGTACTGTGCCTGTTTCACACTCATCTAGTGGTGATGCAGATGTAAACATTTGCAGGTCTTGAGGAAATGACTTAGAGAATTTGAGGACAACTTTGCCTCTTTATGTTCTAACTTTACAGGTACTGGGCCAACTATCATATAAGATGTCTGTTCCCTGGTATGCTTCAGAGTCAAATGGGAGACTGTGGGGATATGCCATGAAGAAAGCCTTGAGACTAGTGGACAGGGTTTTTCTTGTCTATCAACACCATGATATACCCATGAAAGGGGTCAAATAATATCTCCCAGAATTTAGCACTGGCCTTACATTGACAATCAATATTTATGCTTTTCTTCTCCAGGAAAACTTAACTACAGTCAACTCTCGATTATCCGGGGCTACTGAGGCTTTTTTGAGGCTTATATGTTGTTTAATATTCATTCACTTTTGTTTCACGTGGTGAGTTGTAACACTATCTTCGCACTAGTGTGAACCAAGCTCTGCATTCTTTGGTCCCGTTATGCTAACACAATGTTCTAGGGTAGGGGTGAAAGAATGCAAGGATTTGTGGAAAGTTTCAAGGACAGATACATCGCCCCAGTTAGTATCTTTGTATCGATCTTCAAGTGCATTCGCAAAATGTCGGTGTAAAAGGAAGCATGTTGTGTTAAGCATTCAACAGAAAAAGGAAAATGCCGTGAAAAAGTAAACGACAATATTAATTTTTTNATTGACTATTAAAAGTACATGCATCTGCATAAATCTCACAAGTCATGTGTGCTGTCATCAGAATGATATGGATGTATTGTTTCAACACTTGAGGCTTTATGTCGACAACTTCAAGCAGTTGGGCATCATGGTCTGATAACCCATTGTACACGGGACCAATTGTATAATTCATAATTTTATGAATATTTATAAATATGGTATCTATTATTGTTCTAGATTGATTTTGGATTTTAGTAGGGAAATGTACTATAGATGACAGATTATAGGTCTGCAGTACTGCATCTAGCCGTTTTCTTTTTTCATTGTCTGTTAAATAATCTGTATTTATGTCCCCACATATAATAAACTTCGATTCTACTTTATAAAGTGAACTTATTATTTTATCTAACCCATTAAGAAATTAAATAAAATTGCCAATGGGTGCCCTATATACTGCCAGTACATATATATTTGTAGTGGCTTCTAATTTTAATGCACATATTTCGAAATCCTACTCCTTACAATATCTACCCATATCTATCATCAAGAATTTAAGATTTTTATGTATGGATATGCAAACCCCACCTTTCTCTGTTGATTTCCTACAGTATGAGGTAGTGAGTCTGTAACCATCCATGCTAATTTGATCTATTTCAAGCTGTTTAAGATGATGTTCTGTAAGGCATATAATATGTGGTAAATCATGAAATGCCAAGCTGATTAACTCATCTACTTTTTTTTGTAGTCCACATATGTTTTGATGGGGTATTCTCAATGGGTTAATGTCTATTGTTGAGTTATCACCTGTCCTAAGCTTTCTTCTTTCTTTATTATTGGAGTTTTTTTTTTTTGTCTTCTGTCCATCCATAAAAAATCATCATCCTTGTAGTAGGAGGTTTACGAACTCTTTGTATTGAATTAGTATTTGTAACATCCAACTTTAGTTCATTATGTTCTGACCATTGCTATTCTGGAGGACACTATCGCTGCAGATGTCTGCATCCTCTCTTCTTATACTCTGATTATTGGCTTTTTCTTGTGTTATTTTGATCTTATCTTCCTCATAGGTCACTGCTTCTCACTTTTCCATCCCTATATTGTGTTCTTGCTGTGAAGTTTGACTATATGTATGTTGTGCTTTGTTTGTGACTATTTCCACATCCTATCAAATTGTTTTCTGTACATATTTATGGAAAATGAATGAATGAATAAGCATGAATACAGTGTAATCTCTTCAATGCTGGGTGAATCAGTATCCAGTACTATAACTCATCTCATTTTTAATACACTCTGTACGTGTATATGTATTTTAGGGTACAGTGAGATGAATTCCTTTGGTATTATCCTGTAGGTGCATCCAATTGTTCCTGCCCCAGGTGATATATGGGGCATTAGCGGAATAACTGGCGGCAAGAGAGAGAAACCTACTATGTTCATCACAAATACCACATGGGCTGCTGTGGGATTGAACCTGGCCCTTCGCTGTAAGCAACCAACGTGCTGATACACTACATTGGCATCGACCTCTGAGGATCTTTAACATGAACTTCAGAGTCTTGAGCGATCTATAACTTGTTACAGTAATTATTATACACTCTGTACTACTTGTTGCTAGAGCGTTTTTAAGTTCCGCGAAGTTCTGTAATTTCAGTTTTAAAAAACATCTCTGAGGGTACGTCGTCATTATGAAGTTACTAAAATCTATTTTAGCACACAATGGACCCCAAAATCGCCATACCAGATAACATACAACACATTACACTTTTCTTCCATGACGTTTCCTGCCCAAGGTATAACGTACCATCAGATGTATGCCACCGGTAAGCCCTAAATAAACATACTGCACTACACAACCCTTACGACCCTTACTACTTGCCAGTTTTCTACTCCACCTACTCACATGGTTCCGCGGTTTTATGTATTCCATGGTTGGCTCTGGTAGGCGCTATCAGCTATGAGGTTAGTCAATATAAGTTTTGCATTTAATGATGGAATATAATTTTATCTAAAAACATAAATTAATCCGACGTATGGTTAAATTAATCGCATAATATTATCGAACGAGTGAAATAAGAAAAGTGCAACTGTTTTATACTAGACAATTTTACGACGTTGGACCAAACATAAGTCAATGAAGTGCTTAGTGGCAGAATAACCGGAAGTAGTTAGCGGCATGTGTAGGCTGTGTTGGTCAGCGTTTTGGTTTTGGTGAAAGTTATTTTTCTGGTGTTTATTACACATTTTTTGAACATCGGTCTTATATCTACAAGAAGAGGATTCTGAGTGAACGTACATCAATGGGTCAGTATACAGTAAATAGTTGCATGTTTTATATACATGTGTTTGTTCTCACGGCTCTCCGGTGTGTGATGGTTATGTACTGTTACATTGAATGTTGTAGTACGAATGTTACCCGAAGTGTTTGTGAATTTCGTTTTCAGTAAGTATAATATCGTTCATGCGTGTTCTTATTGTATGTTTAATTACAGAGGACAAGATGTGTCGTAAAAATAGTCGATGCGAGATACGCTATAATGAACCTCTTAGTCCACTGCAGTTGTCAAGTTTAGATTTTTACGAAGGCGAACAGTGTTTTCATTCTTATCTACGTAGGTTATATAATAAAGTATGAATTGCGTGCACTGTATATTAGTTTTCTTCTCCGTATACGACCAGCTTGCAATCTATGTAATCGCTTACCGAATCACAGGGCTTACATGGGCAGTTTTCTTTGGGGGAATGGTAGCCTTTTGATTTGGATTGATTTGATTTGACTATAAGGCTACATACCGAATCTTAATATCTATTGCCATAATCCAAAGCATTCATTCATTGTTGAACCATTTTTCCCCGGTTCCATGAACTGTTTCAAGGATGGATGTTGTTGCGGTTTTTATTAGGCTATTATTACTGAGATTGCCTAGCAATGAATACATGCAACAATAGAATTAATTGTTGGGCGGGTCGTTTTCTATGCGGTCCGTGTCTTATCAGGAGAATGTCTGGGTCTATGAATTGTCCTATCATTGCTAGGCAACAAGCAGATTGGTAAACACATTCCTGTGGCAGTGAAGAATTTTTTGAGGTACCATTTTCTGTGTGGTCCAGGTCATAAAAAAGGTAAAGCTGTGACAAGCAGTGGAGGCACATGGAAAATAGGCAGTTCGTTAGTCCTTCCCAGAACTTTTTGTGTGTATGTAGTATATATGACAGAGCAGTGTGATCATGAATATATCAATCTCAGAATTTTGATAGGTGTGTTTTGGACCCCTCAGAATATGAATAAGTTGTTTCTGGAATGCTGTCTCTATATATATGTGTGTGTGTGTATGTATGCATTAGATGTGTCTGCCTGGTGACTGTGATGTTGTTCCAAAAATAAATATCCTTCAGGTTGGTGAGAAAAAAACAAAATGGCCAAATTTTCTGGAATATGATTTTGAATCAATTTCAATAATTTATGGAGACCACCTCTTTAAATAAAACTGCATAGGTGGTATCTTCAGGAAAATAGTGCACATTAGAGGCCCAGAGGTGAAGTGTTGATTCTGTTCAGCCTGCTTTACCAGTTTTACAGAGTTCATTGTCATTTAGTACCCAGTAACCAGCGATGGTGTTCCAGAAAACACATGATTTTCTTACCAAGGTAACATAGTCAAGGTCAGTCGTATGAGAGAAAGTATGTGTGGTGCCTTTGCAGTAGTTTTTTATATGACCAAAATTGTCATTCTGTTTGTTGAATTAAAAATTGCATACTTAAATACCATGTACTTACAGTACTTTGCAAGTGTGAAATACTATGCCTGCATCTGGCTGTGATCCTGTGACTTCTTCCCTGCGCTTGTCTTTGGAAGCGAGCCAAGGCTCTGAAGATAACAGTCTTGATAAACGTCTTGTAGCCTCAGCTGCACGGGTTTTGTTGACTCATATTGAATATGAACCTCATGGAAATTGCTTGGAAGATGTTCTCAATAATCTAAAAAATAAGTGTATTGTGCTGAGGAGTCAAGACATAGCCAAGAATGGGACAGATGCAGCTGCTTCATCCTCAACCCCGAACATGCCAGGTAAGGTACTGGTTACTCGTGTTGCAATGTAAATTTTGGTTTGTCAAATTGTATTTGCCAGTGATATGGGCTGTCTAAATATGATGTATCTTCACATTGAGAGAGATTCACATTATAAAGGTAAAGTTGTCCCTGTGCTTAACTAATTAAGCATGAAGGTGTAAGGGGTAGTTGATGTATAGATCCACGTTTCCTTTACCTCGGCATTATTTGGAGATGAGTTGTCAGCTTAACGGCCTGGCAGCTTTGCCCCCGCAGAAAGAGCTATTAGTACACATTGGGTAGGAGGGCCCCAGATCTGGTGTAGGTGACATGGAGAAGAAAAAAATCTTGCCCGTACTGGGACTCAGACCGCAACCTCTCAGCCGTCCAGCCCCATAGCCAGTCGCTGTACCAACTGAGCTATCACAGTCCGATTCGCAAATATATATAAAACAAAACAAAAAAACTTGCTCCTTTTTCCCCTCAGAAAGAGCTATTAGTACACATTGGGTAGGAGGGCCCCAGATCTGGTGTAGGTGACATGAAGAGAAAAATCTTGCCTGTACTGGGACTCAGACCGCAACCTCTCAGCCGTCCAGCCCCATAGCCAGTCGCTGTACCAACTGAGCTATCACAGTCCGATTCGCAAATATATATAAAACAAAACAAAAAACTCCGTGGCTTGTAGTCTGCAAGCGAACTATACTGACCGAGCGACTGCTGCTTGTTGGTGAAGTTAGTGCCAACTTTAGTGGATAGGTGGTGTCACGTGGTCAGCACAGCGAATACCCACTGCCATTAATTTCATTTTTCTAAACTGTAGCCTCTATTTCCTTGAAATTGCTTCTCAGTTATCCTCATGAGGCTGAGTGGACCCTGTTCTAGACCCACTATTTGTCAGAAAATCTGGTAGCGCCGGGAATCGAAGCTGGACCTCTGAATGTGTAGCCAGGGACTCTGATCACTAGACCACAGAAACTGTCATATATATATATAGACACACACACACTTTTCTTTTTTAGTGGGACCATAGGAATCAGACACAGAGTTCAGTGGTTTCTGAGAGTTCATGGATAAATTTTCTTTTGAACAGTGTTCGATTTGAGGTTCTCAGCAGCAGTGACTATGAAGAGTGTTATCTTCTGGGATTTATCCCAATATAAATTTATTTACTGATCCTGAACGTGATGGTATTCCATGGTGTCACATCCCAAAAGGTGATATACTCATTGCTTTGTGCACTGTGGCTGGTATGTGTTAACCTTTCTTGAGCAGAAACCAGGCATAGCTGAGGCTTTCTGTCACCCTCTGTGTGGGTATATCAGAAATGCATACAGAACTGCCATCGCAGTTAGAAAGGGCATTCCCCATAACCATGTAAATCTACCACCCCTTGTTTCAATAGAAGCGACAGTGCTCTGCATACCGATTGGTAACAGTGAAGTACTGCTTGCAGCTGTTCATAAATCCCCAGGCAGGGCCTGGAGTGATGCTGATATCACTGAGCATTTACGCTTTAGACGTAAGTCTATATTGGCAGGTGATTTGAATGCTAAACACCCATTTTGGAACAGCAGAGGTTCAAACCCCTCAGGCGAGAAACTCATGGATTTGTTTGATATGAGTGAATTCGAAATTTCAGCACCACAATGCCCCACTCATTATTCCCTTGCGGGAAATGGTGACGTGCTTGATATTGTGGTCCATCAAAATATCAGTATCACATGTCATCGTCTCTGATATTTTGGATGCAGATCATTTACCAATAGTATTCCACATACTGGATCATGTTAAAATTAAGAATCTTTCAGAACCTATTGAAAAATTCAGAGATTGGGAACGGTTTCAAAGCCTCTCCTCTGAGTTAATATCACCTAAAATAGAAATAAAATGGGGGGGATAGAAGCCGAAAAAGAGGCGCGTGATTTTGCAGCCTCTATTGCTTCTGCATATAGGTTGTCGACAAGTAAAGTTACACTTTCGGACATAAACAACAATCTCCCTGGTCTAGATTGTTTGTTAAAACATAAGTAGAGGCTTTGAAAATTGTGGCAAGAAACAAGGGATCCAGCGTGTAAAACGGCAGTCAACTGGGTCACAAAATCAATTGGACGAATGACTCTGAAAAAGGCACTTGAACGGTGGGAAACAGAGATAGGTAACGCTGAAGTCACACTTCAGGGTATATGGCCCATTGCAAAATCCGTCTTAAAGACAGATGAACCAAGGGCACCAAGTGCTATTCATGGTGCTTCTTGCCTTAAATTTTACCCATTCGAAAAAGCCAACGAAATTGCTGACTGTTTGGAAATTCAGTTTATGCCGCATGACCTGTGCGACGAAAACCATGAATGGTGGGTGGAGCCTAGAGTTCAAGCTCTGCTGGAAACTGTAGATGACAACCTCCCTACTTCTCTCGAAGCCGTCAACCACCTGAGTCTTGTCCTCTAATTGGAAGAAATATTCCATTTTTAAATAGTGCACAATATCTAGGTGCAATCTTTGATAAGAGAGTTACATGGAGATTGCACATAGAAATGATCGAAGCCAAGGCCCTCAGAACATTCATTAGAGTATATTCCCTATTCAAAAGTGAGCGATTAAGCACTAACATTAAACTGACTGTCCACAAAGGTCTTATTAGATCCGTAATGACTTATGCTAGTCACGCCTTGGGATTTTGTGGAAGACACCCATCTAGTGAAATTGCTGTGCCTGCAAAACAAGGTTCTCCGCACCATTATGGATTTTTCAAGGCGCACACTGTACCACGATTTGCACATGGCATTCAAAATCTCACGCGTATATGACTATATAACAAGTTCAGTATCAAAGAATGGTAAGATAAGCTTCTCCTTAATTAAATCCCATATAATTCTTGTCATTTCATCTCCAAGAATGTCTCCAACTGGCCCAGTTGTTATCTTACCTGTGCTGTCAACTGAAATAAATAATACGAAAAGCTCTGAACACTAGTCACACACCTTTCACTTCCACGTACCAACCCCACCGCATCCTTGTCTTGTCGTAGGCCGACAGAAGATCCGACCATTCGCTTTGTGATTTTCATGCTAACAATCTCGTAGAAGGTCTTCTTACTAGTTCTTCTCCCTCCTAGGTGTGATCGCTGTCCTGATCTACACCCTCCGATGGTGTTCCTGGTTGGCACCTTTTTCTTCTGACAGCGGCTGTCTGCCACCTATGTTCTTTATTCCCGTTCTTCCTTTGTGGAGAATCACTTTCTCTGAGTCTCCGGATCCTTTCCTCATACTTGGTCCTGATACAGTTTCTCCTACCGACGGTTCTCTTGTGCCAGGCGATTCTTGGATGACTGGATATCTTTCTGACAGTCTCCTTCATCTGCTGTGTTACTTTTACACGGCGGCTCATCCCTCTGCAGGCGACAGCCAGTCTTTTCTGGGATCCACACTTTTCCCATGGCAAATTCTTCGGTTTCTGGCGGTGGCCCTCCATGGCCAGTTTTCGGTCCCTACGCCGTTTCCTCTTCTTTGGTTTCCTGACCGGCATCACTTGCGTCTTCTACGTGGACCTCTTTCTGCACCACCTCAGGCTTCCTGGCCACTAAGGTCGGATCTTTTTCCATTTGACGTGCCTCCATCTCTTGCCAGGCCATCGTCTGTATGTCTATTTCTGGTTTGGGTTCAGCCACCATCTGTTCATGGTTGGTGTCCATCCCTTTTCGTATGGTGGTCATCCTTGCTTGGGTTGCTCTTGTTTCAACTCGGAGTGCTTCTGTCTTTTCTTCCATGGCCTTTGTATTTGCGTCTATCTTGGCCAGCAGGAATTCCAACATCTGTATATCCATTTTTTTTTGTGGTCTATATGGTTAAGTTCATATCCCACTTCTAAAACACCAGTTATCATGTGTTGCTGTGTGACGCAACAAATAACTTCACGCCATTTGGTTCTTAGCGAATTTATTGAACACTTGCTCTTACACTTACACAGTTCACAATTTCACAATTTCTTCCTTAGCCAAAGCTTTCATCTCGCAACTTCCACTGTCTTCGATGAACACTCTAATACTCGTAACTCATACTCATACTCAGTACTAGTAACTGGCTCATCACTGATGAATACTCCTTATTACGTAGCTTCCGCACTGACCACACAAAACAGTTACGAGATAGCTACAACTGTTGTGTGATATCGTGTTTACCGATTGCCTAGCAACAGTCGCCTCACTGGCTCCCCTGTTGCGTGACGTTACAGCTTAGTGGTGAGTGGTGTTTACCGAGCGTTACATAGTGGTGGAAGGAGTGGAGGTACGTGACGTCACTTGCGGAAACGCAGAGTTCACATGACCCCTACTTCCTGTTGCGCCATCCATGTTAAAATATTATACATACTAGATATTAAGACTAAATTATAAATAAGTGTACATAGTGACAGTGGACTATGACTGACAAATGACAGACCCGAATTCTCGTCAGACAGTAACTTTCATCTAAAAAACTGGGGCTCGACACTAAGACAGACAGACAGACTGACCATCAGTCGTAGTGTGACTTTGACTTGACTTCAGCCAGTATTCCGTATGATTTCAAGTCTAGCAGTTACGAGTTGTTGAGTTGTATCGAGTGAATGGAATGAAGACAGGAAGTGACTACAGCAGGAGAAGTAATTGGGATACTGAAATTGTGACGTATGTAAGTGTGTATAAAAGTGTGTAGTAAATTCCCTAGATCCAAGACTGGCATGAAGTTATTTGTTGCGACGCACAGCAACCGTGACAACTGGTGTTACAAAAGTGGGATTCGAACTTAAACATGCCTCAATCTAGGAAGAATTGTTGAATTCAGATGTACACGGAGTGTTATCCTGCAAAAAAATAGAAAAGAATGGACACACAGCAAATATTGGGACTCCTGCTGGCCAGGATGGAGTCCATGCAGGAAAGGGCGGACGCCAACCAGGCTAAGGCAGACCCCGCTTTGCAGGCCTTGCAGAAAAGGGGAGAGCTGCCCAAGAAGAAATGCTGGCAAGAATGGATGCCAACATGAAATCTGGCCAGGAACAGCTACAAGAGAATCTAAAGAGTATAATCGAAGAAATGATGTCGATAACCCAAAAGGAGACGATGGCCTGCCGAGAAAAGATGGAGGCACATCAAGAAGAGGAAAAGCTGACCTTAGTGGACAAGAAACCTGAGGTGGCAGAGCATCAAGAGGTCCCCAAGGGAGATGCCGTTGTGAAACCGGTCAAAGGATGGAAGAAGCGGCATAGGGGCAAGAAGCAAGCCGCAGGGCGACACGAGCCAAAGGATCTGACCCAAGGAATTTGTGGATCCTGGAGGAAGTTGTCTGCTGCCTGCAGGAATGTGTCCTGCAGTGCAACAGTGGCATGGCGCAAGAGGAACACATTCAGGGAAATTTTGACCCAGGGAAAGTCTGGACCATGGCACGAATTGGCCGCCAACAGAAAGATGACCAGCCGTACAGGAGTGGCACGGGGCAAGGAAAACTACAGCGGCTACGAGGCAGCAAACAAATAAAGAACCCATGCACAATACGGCATGTATGTCTTAAGGTCGAGAGGACATTGGAGGGCTTCGACAGGAGGTCTTTCGGACTTGAATTCATGAAGAGAGCAACCAGGATGTTTGGTGGGTTGTGGAAGGTGTGAGACTCAGCGCTGTAGAGGCATTGGCGTTCTCCAGAGCCAAAAAACATGGATTGGACCTTGTGGAGGGGTTCACCCCCTCCAAAACAGAAGATAATGCAAGCAGAGAAGGAACCGCTAATGTAGAATCACCAGCCTCCCCAGCATGATTGGAGAGTGAAAGATGACAAGTACATGAGAGTGACTCGTAGTACAACTGGACTGGCTTTTGCCCTACCCCGGAGCTGCTCAGGATGAGCACTTGAAAGAGGGGGCGTATGCGGCAGAGTAAACACGCCTGACAGCAATACCTGATATCTGTTGCCAAGCACCAATGTTTTGCATGTGGTCCATGCCAAAACCTATATAAGGAACAGCGAACACTATTCAGTCAGTATTCAGTATGAGTTGAAGTCTAGCAGTTACGAGTTGTTGAGTTGTATCAAGTGAATGGAATCAAGACAGGAAGTGACTACAGCAGGAGAAGTAATTGGGATACTGAAGTTGTGTCTTATGTAAGTGTGGATAAAAGTGTGCAATAAATTCGCTAGATCCAAAACCGGCGTGAAGTTATTTGTCATGACACACAGCCAACAGGGCAACAATATAATGGACTGTAGACCCATTGCTAGGTAACGACTGTGAATAAGCAACTATACAGCAGCCATGGCTAAGTAATGGCTCTGCAAACAATGGCCTTTGCTAGGCAGGCTCAGTAGTGATCACATTCACCCCAACAGGCACAAATGCAACAATTGCATTGCAACAGAGGAACAGTGTTTTCTGCAAGGTCAGAGGAAAGGAAATATGTGCCATTGGAGACCACTACCAAGCAACACCAGTGAAGACATGAGAGAGAGAGAGAGTTTGTGTGTGTGTGTGAGAGAGAGAGAGAGAGAGAATGAACCAGTCACAGTGTACTGTAATGTGTAGTCCAATAAATCCAATCATCAATCCAGAACCCTGTCTATAGTCACAGTGCAGGCAACAAGCCAAGGACATGTAAAATCATGAAAATGAAACTGTTTTTTCACATCAGACAAGGTGAAGCCTGGCGCAGAAAATATAGGAGGCTTAAGCTTGGCAGTCGTCAGTCATATGACCATTCATGTGCCTAGGCAGCCATTGTAACATAGGCTAAATGAGTTAAGGCATGATCTGCTGTGCCTAGCCTAGACTGACCGAGGCCAAATAACATGTACTACTGACTGTGACTGTGGTACATGCCAGATCCCTCCTCTTGTTGGAGAGGGCCACCCCACATTGATAAAACCGCAACTGTCAGTAACATAAATATGGTATTGAGCCCCCACATGGGACTTGACACCAAGACTGACTGATCTTTGGTCATAACATAACATTTTGACTTTGACTTGTGACAGATGAGTAGCAGTACTGGTCTGAGTGCTCCCAGAGCCATCAGTAAAATATGGTCATGAGTCTTGTGGGACTCAGAACCAAGAATCACTGTGCTGGCGGGGGCCAACAGCAATTTAGCAGTCAGGCTGTCTAAATGACAGACTCATCCTCTTGTCAGAGAGAGCGCTCCACACTGACAAAACCGCAACCCTCTGGCACCAACAAAAATCTTGCCTTGGGCCCGAGAAGGGGCTTCACACCAATACTGACTGCCTGACTGATTGCTGGTCATAATGCAACTTTGACTTTGACATCTGACAGTTGCCAGGAGCCATCAGACACACAAGCTGAGGAATCTGTGGTGTTGAGAGCCGATATCAGGCAATGACTAGAGAAAACAAACTGAGAAGAGTTAGCACATGGTGCTGTAATGATTTGTAAAGTGTGTGAATTAGTGAAACGGTTCTGATTACTTGTAGTTATAGTTTATAACAGTTCAGCAGAGTGATTTACCAGTTTAAATCCTGTGTCTGGTCACTTAATGCGTGACATCATGATCAATTTGTACACCAACATGCGAATTAGTATGTTGTTTTGTGGGAGATCTGATCGGTGAGATGTGAATATTTTTAATGATCTGTAATGCATGTCTTAAAAAGTTGCAGCCTTGTGCAAGTTTCTGCAGATTCACAATCCTCGTTAATGTCTAGTGTNTTTTTTGGTATTATATTTTTAAATTTTTATTTTCAGTGAGTAACATTGGTAGTAATCAGAACGGAAATATGAAGCCAGAACCTGACTCCATCCTGCCAACACCAAAGATAACATTGTTTCCAGCACATGATATACAGTTGGGTTGGAGAGGAACACACTGTGTAGGTGCTGGAATGATTAATGTTGGTAACACTTGCTACCTCAATTCAACATTACAGGTATGTCATAAGAAACTAGTAACTAGCTCAGATGTACTAGAACTGTTCATAAAGTTAGGCTCATTTATGAAATTGAAACAAGGGGAATTCAAGAAGGGTGGAAAGAAATAGATGTTATTTGTGGGTGGTTCTGTAAGATTCTTTCTTGGTGTTCCTGCATGTACAATTTTTTTAATGCTAGTGGGGTGGGGCTAAGTCCCTTGTACTGTGCCCACTTCTGGCCTATTGTACCATGCATGTACAGTTAATGGGCAGGCAGAAGGAGGAGGATTATGGTGAGAATGTTTAAGCATTGGTGTTGTGCCATGTAATAATAACTTAAGGAAGGTAAAGTCCCCATGCTTAACTAATTAAGCACTGCACCATGAGGACGTGGGGAAGTGGATTTATAGACCCGCGTTTTCTTGACCTCGGCACTAGTTGGAGGTGAGTGGTCAGCTTCACATGTCAGCTACTTTACCCCTGGGGAAATAGCCCCAGGTACCCAGTGGATTCGAAGGAGGCGGGGTGGGCCCCAGAGCTGGTCTGGACAACATGGAGAAGTGAAAAGTTCTTGAACCTACCGGGACTCGAACTCTGACCTCTTCGTTGTCCAGCCTGTAGACACTTGTTGCAGCAACTGTGCTAAGTATATTTACAAATTGTGTAAGGTATCGAATGATGAGAAGATTTATAACTGGGGTTTACAGTGAAGGATAATTGTCTCAGGTTTATCCCATACCTGGGGAGAATGCTTTGGAAATTTAAGAAATTTGCATAGAACTTGATGTAATAATGATATTGAAAATGAAGAATGTTTGCTAGATTGCCAGAAATGTTAAAAAGAAATGGGGAAGAGCAGGATACTGTATACTGAATGTTGCAATACAAAAGGAATAAAGTGGGCAGCATGGCATGGAAATTACAGGGGGGGTTGATTGTGATGAGGAGGAGGATGACATATTGTGACATGCCTAAAATCCAGAAACTGAAGAATCAGAAATATCAGCTCATAACTAAGTAGGCACCATGGCAAAACATATATCCCAAACAGTGGACTCACCCATAACAGTGGAAATAATATTGAGCTCATTGTTGTGTAGTTGGCCCACAGCAAGGTGATGTAGGGAGACCCTATAAGCTAGCAAGAGAGAGCCTGCATGCAGCCTAACATTTGAGCCTGTGATGACAGCACTAGAAGAACCAAGCAAGAGTGATCTAATGGACTGTGATACCCTATAAATACTTGTAAAATTTTGTGGTCAGTTGTGGATACAATGAATCAGTGTGAAATAGGCTTGCAATCCAAACCCATTGTGCAGTCACTGTGATGTGACATACTAGCACGGTCAGTAAGTTTGTGGAATGGCCGCAAAGCGTCATACAGGAATTTACTGCCAGTATGTTTCAGCAATGTTTTCGACAGCTATATCAACGTTGGCAGACTTGCATAGCGGCCAACGGCAACTATTTTGAGGGCTGATATAGATCTGAGTAAATGTATGTGAATACCTTATAATATGATGTGATAAAACCACATTCCACAAACTTACTGACTCTACCATGTATATTAAATTGTGTTGAAATCCACACCTGGAGAGTGAAGGGTGTTATCAAGAAATGGAGAAGGTGTTACGAAGAAATAATTTTTGTAGAGAATTGTAAAAAAGGTAAAGCTGTCCCTGTAACAGGCAATGAAGGCCCATAAGGTTGTGAGATGTAAAGGTTCCACATTATGTAGACAATCTACTCACAGATGGCAGTAAGGTTGTCAGCCTTAGCGCCGGCCACCCTTTACCCCCCAGGAAGATTCCTGGTACTCATTTCTGTTAGAGGCTGAGTCGACCCCAGGGCCATAATGCAGCTGGAAGGATTAGGTCAGTCGAAAATATCTGCTTTATTGGGACTTGAACTCGCGATCTTCAGTCTTGTAGCATAGTGCCTCAACCAACTATGCTACCGCATGCCCCCATAAAGAATTGTAAGTTGTAGTCTGAATGATCTGGATAACTTCATGGCAAAAGGGAAGAGCTCAATAATGAGAAAGGCATGTTATGAGAACTGATCTTTTATTTGTAGATGGCTATTGTCACACCCATTGCGAATTCAGTGGGAAGTCTCATGTGTTAAGTACGCATACATATTATTAACTTCCCCTACTTTACCCCATATTCCCTCCCAGTCCTACATAATAACTGAATAGTATGATGTGGCTGGCATATAGTGCCCTCCTCCATGAATAGCATGTGCAAGTAGTCAGTTTTAAACTGTCTCCTTTGTATAGTACACTACACTTCACATATCCACATGCATATATTATAAATACTCACAGATTAGACACAGTGCACTGAAGTAAAGAACTGCACATGCACTCATTTATGTATGACCCACTGAATAACTTAAAAAGTAAAGGTATCCCAGTAACAGGCCGTGGAGGCCCATAGGGTTGTGAGATGTTGAGGTTCCCACATTTTATAGACAGTTGGCTCATAGATGGCAATAAGATTGTCAGCCTTATGCGCCGGCCACCCTTTACCCCCAAGAACATTCCAAGAATATTCCTGGTACTCATTTCTGCTAGAGGCTGAGTCAACCCCGAGGCCATAGTGTGGCTGGAAGGATTAGGTCAGTTGAAAAAGTAATCCAATGACCTCATCAGGATTCAATCCCACGACCTTCCGGCTTGCAGCATAGTACCTCGACCAACAATGCTACCACGTGCCCCACTTAATAACTTATGTGAATGTATTTAATATGTTGATGCCCATCATTTCATTGCTTTGGAAATCTGAAATGTTGTAATTTCTGAGCTTTCACCTCGCTCTTAACATTACTTTTTTTATATATACAGGAGGATAATTACGTAGAAAATGTAGGAGAGTAAATAGATAGTTGGTAACCATTAAGACAAGTTTGTATGGCATCTAATGGCCCAATCTGTAACAGCCAGGGTAGTGCATGCAGGACTCTTCATGTAATATCATGACTCGGTGAAGATTCATTCAGTAATATCACAACTCTGTGAAGATTCATTTATTCAGTAGTTACCCCATGGAACTGTACATAGCTCAGTATGGTAGATACTGGTAAACTTCTTTTAGTATTTATCAATCAGTGCTATACAAAATTTTATCCAGAATTCTTCTCTCTTATTTAGATGAAGTTGTTTGGCATCAGTGCATGCATGTGTGGGGGGGTGGGGTGTGGCATGCATCTGTGTGTAATTAAGTTAATGGAACAGAGTCCTCATGAAGCTAATGGGTGCTCAGGTAGTCAAGAAATTTCCCGTGTAATCTGAAAGTTCATTCCTGACACAGATATTGGAAGTTATTATACGTAATTATGCAGTAGACTCGTGGGGAGTTGCAGAGTGTGGTTGGTGGTGAGACAGCGTGAGAGATACAGTGTAAGAAAAGACCAGTCTTGGATACAGGTCATGCTCTGAGAGGGTATATAGGGACTGAAAGCTCTGAAGAGGATGTGAGTTAATGAAGTGTTCCAAATCGTTAGTGGTTTAATTTGTCCTGATTGAATACTTTACTTGAAAAGATGAAGTTTGGCAGAGGAATGTCACGGAAGTTGTTGGTTGGCATTGTTTGTGTAGGTGCAGTAGTGGCAGTAAAGTATGAGGGTGTTGTGGGCCAATGAGGTGCTTCGCAATGCTACTTCATGCTGCAGGTTTGAAACTAGAGCTCATCGAAGATAACTCAGATTGAAATTGAAAACTTTCACATTTTAAATTACTTAATTAAAAACCAAAACCCTTTAATCTAAAGATAGTACAATGTACACTTTTGTTTTACTGAGCAAGTTGGTTAAAACAGTGATAATACTCCTGATTAGTATGTGGGAGGCACCTGGTTTTAATCTTGGCTGGACACCAAGTATCATGACAGGTTTCCTGGGGTTTTCTTAGTTCTGTGCAGATGCTGGGATAGTAGTTAAAAATTGGGCCGTTACTACTTCTTCCACGTCCTCTCCATTTCATTATTCACTATTGTTCAGTCATAAGTTGGCAGGGGAAGCTGAAGTGCTCAGACAAAACTTGTCCCAGTGCTCCTTTTGTTCACTACAAATCCCACAAGAACCGACCTGGGATTGAACTGGGGCCACTGCTATAGGAAACAGTGACTAACTGCTTGTACTGTGGCATGGTCATGATTGTATCAAATTTTATTAAAGTCTTAGGAGGTGAGTGTGTGGAATTGCATTTAATTGATTTCATGTGGAGTGATGCAGTGGGATGCTTTGAGAACTGTGTGTGTATGTCTATGCGCATGCGCGGAGAGTTTCATTACTTTGCTTGTGGTCTTATGATGGTCTGTTGGCAGAGAGAGACACCAACTAATGGGCAGCTTTATGCTACAACACACCTCACTGGAGGTCCTCTCAGTGTTCAGTAAATGTTTTCCATACAGCCACATCACTTGCATAATATTATAATAACTACTGAAACTGGTGTCCTCTGATGTGAAAGCACATTCCCATGGATGTAGATCACTTGGTTTCAGATCCAGGCTACGTAACAGACTCCTGCCATAATGAGAAGTGCACACAGTTCATTTTCCAGAATTGATGCATGTTTGTTCTTGTGATCACCAAGCTGTGATGTGTTTGTGATGTTTGACCATAGAGAGAGTTACAGTAGTGAACAGTTACGATATTATATTGCAGCATTCTGTTGCACTGTGTTTTCCAATTTTAGCATTCTCACTTACCATTTCTGTGCAACTTCACATATATTAAAATTCACACTTTGCTACACCATTGCACACCGCATAAAGGAAAGAATCCAACACCCCAGACCCACAACATGTGTGCACAACAAAAGTAACCATAGCATAATAATCTAAAAAATAGCTAAAAATATTTTATAAGCATTTTGCATTACTCACAAAATGCAAAATACAACATCGGAACAGCAGGGTAGCAGTTTTCGTCTACGAGGGTCTTACACACCTGGTGATGGCCAGTTAGGCCAAAACATGTAGTGTTAAATAATTAACAAGAAGAGACAAGGAGCTCGTGGAGTGTTAATTTAGATATATCTGAAGTTGCACAGAGATGGTGAAGTGAGAGTGCTAAAACTGAACAGTTACCAAGAATTACAGCAGAACTGACCCCTGTTTCTTATTTTCAGGGTTCCCACATTTAGTGTTAAATTTCAGTGATGCCAAGTCAGTAATTGAAGTATTAAATTTCCTCCATATAAGATTCTCCTCAATTTAATGCCGAACTACATTGATACCTAAAGAAGCTTTTAAATAGAGGTTGCATGGTATTGTGGAGCATTCTGAATAGGACAGTACACCAGCAGACACTGGGGCCACTGCAGGCTGTTTTTGATGAATGAGCACTTTGCCTGTCACATTCTCCAGATCTGAATTTACGTGTTTCTTATTTGCATGAAACTGGAAACAAGGTCTTCAGAAATAAACGACACTTTACAGATCAAGTTGCAAAGCCTTATTTTAGAAATTGCAAGAGGTGAGTTAGCTGTGTCACAGAATTTGGTTATGAAATGTTCTTGAATATCAGAGGACACTGCTTTCAGCAGCTACTGTAATATTGAGTAAGTAGAGAGTGACTTTACTGAAAACGTGTTGAGAATAGACAGGATGTCCGATTAAATTGTACAGTGTTTTCATATTGTCTTTGACTGACAGGCATCCTGTCCTATAAAAACATGTTAACGACATCACAGATGAAAGAATGGACGTGCCTGTGAGTGCTGTAGTGGACTTGTGCATAAAATATGTCCTTTCATTGAAATTACTGTAAACCTTCACTAATCCATATTAAATGGGGGGAGGGGGAGAGGTCATCTGGATTAATTGATAATGTGGACTAGTGAAGTAGTAACATCCACTTGACTCAGTCAACAAAAGTACTGAACAAAATGCAAGACAGTGTAGTGAATGTTCCATCTCTCTCTGTGCAGTCAATCAACGTTCAGTTAGAGTGACTCATCTTTCTTCCCAAATGCCTCGTGGCTTTTGAAGTATGTACTCAACTGTGAACAGCATTTTTCATCATTCATATTTCGATCCCGATTAATTGTGTAGCTGGATAGGCGAGGGTTTGCAGTGGTACATAAATGATCTAATCATGGAAGTGTACTTCAAATAAACCTTTGTGTCTTGTTTTGGGGCATGTTGTCACATGCTCATGTGTGCAGGGTTAGGTCAGTATATATATATATATATGATAAATGGTACACACTCCGTCCCAAGTGCAAACAATATATATTATATGTCTTTGATCTTGTTCTCTTCTACACTACATGTTTCGGCCTCTATCGGCCATCATCAGGTGTATACTCTTAACATTGCTGCCACACTGAAACCCATGGTATGTAGATTATATTGCAGACGTCAAATTTTCCTGTAGTAGCACTATAAAATCTTTAGTTATGATTTTAAAATCCTTTAAAATTTTCTCTAAATTTTAAATTTAGAATTTAAAATTGTTAGGGTTACTCACCCTATGTCTAAAGTGCTGGAGTGACTAGTTCTTGTTCCACACTGTACAGGTGTTATTCTGTGTGGTCTTCCTGTGTGCGTGCCGCTGCTTGTCTTTACTACGTGTGCTGTCTCTACTGCACTCTAAGAACATTCTGTTTGTGATTAGGATTGCTTTTAAGTACTCTGTTGGAAGCAACAGAGGGACATATAGTCTGGTGGGTGTTACCAGCATTCCAGAAGAACCTGCTGCCACCATTTTTAATGCTGTAGAAATCCAAAGTCAGATGTGGTTATGTCCTGTATCTGAAGTTGCACTTTTGATTGATTGCAGGCTCTGTTCCATGTCCCAGCATTCATCAACTGGCTGCACAGTGACAATAGCCATCTCAGCAATTGTACAACAGTTGTGAGTGAGTATTCAGACATTCATTTCTGATCTGTGATTATGCCACGTGAAAAATGTGATACCTATGTTACATATCTTAATGTTGCCAACACTGTCCATAAAAGTATGAAGATGAAATTAATCCAATGTGTATAACAGTGTACATGGAGTGTGGAGAGCTCCTGATGGAGGGAAGTGGTCAGCTTCATTCTCTGACCATATTTATGTAGGATACTTGTTGAACAGGAGGATGGTTGGGCCCCACACCTGGTTTCGAATCAAGTATATTGAGAAGAATTCTAAGCCCTAACTTAGCTGTCCTCCAGTTCATAGCTTGTTGTGCAGATATATCAGAGACAGTTGTGATGCAAGGGTTGTTAACCTGCATCATCAGGTGGTGCAGCCTGTTGGAATTTCAGGTTGTCATGATGTGTGAGGCATTAGGCCATGTGGCTTGTTCCTTTTTCATACCAGTTTCTCATCCTGAAGTCTGTATAATGCTTTGGTATTTTTTGTTCATTGCTTTTTTTTTTTTTTTTTTTTTTTTTTTTTTTTTATTACTGATGGAGACTTTACTTATGGAGCTGAGCCCTTCTTGAGTAGCTGCAAATTCTGCAGCTACTCAAGAATTTCCCAGCATTTTGTAGAACCCGAAGGTTTATTACCATGTCAACAAGAGCCCTGCACTGGTCCCTATCCTGAGCCAGATCAATCCAATCCAATCCATACTATCCCATCCTGTCTCTCTTAAGATCCATTTTAATATTGTCCACCTATGCCTTGGTCTTCCCAGTGGTCTCTTTCATTCTGGCTTTTCTACGAATATCCTATATGCATTCTGCTTCCTCCACACATGTGCTACATGCCCTGCTCCTCTAATCATCCCTGACTTGAGCAATGTAATTGTACTTGGAGAAGAGTACAAGTTATGAAGCTCCTTATTATGCAGTTTTTTCCGACCTCCTGTCACTTCATCCTTTGTCGGTCCAAATATCTCCTCAACTCCCTGTTCTCAAACATCCTCAGTCCGTGTTCCTCCCTTAATGTCAGAGATCAAGATGGAAAATTTGTTTTCAAGTAACTATAAAAATGGTAGTTATCTTTGATAGTTTTGCTGATGGGATGAGAACTCTGGATGCTTTGAGGCCAGGTAAAGTGGAGCTACTATAACTGTCACATTTCTTTAGGTCTCATTAAACCATGGTGTAATTGCAGACCAGGGTTCTGATTGGCACATTACCTAGAGAAAGCAAAGAAATGGATATAGGAAATATGTCCCAGTAGAACTGCAATATAGTGAGTTTGATTTATAAAGAGAAGTTTAGCATGACAGTAGAAAATTGGAACTGTTCATATATTAGTCATACAAATGGAAGGGAATGTAACTTTTTTTTCTCATTGATTGTTTTGTTAACAGCTCACCGGAGATTACTTTCAGAATAAAGAAATAGAGATAGCTAATAGATCTGTTGAAGCTTTGCTAGGATTCAGATATTTGGGAATAGCAGTAAGAACCAACAGTTAATTTCAGAAGATGGGAACATGCTAAAATTCGTGCTGCAGGTGCTCCCATTGAAATTGCTCATATAATGTAGTAATTGTGTGCATATGTTTCTACAGATGGGACAGTGAATGGAGAGTGCATCATATGCGCGATGAACAAGACATTGAAAGCATCACAGAGCAAATCGGGCACTATCATAAAACCATTCCTCATATACAACAGATTGAAGCGTAAGTTTTCCTTTAATTTAGTATAGAGGGCAGTTCAACAAGTGTTATATGTGTTTTGACCCTTCATATTATTCATATTAGATTCCCTCTTTAGTCTGATATTTGCAAAGTTTTAATTTTATAGATGTCACGTATATGGGGTGTGCGTAACTGTAGATGAGGCATGGATTGGCTATTCGCTTTATTGTGTAACTACAGTTAATTACAGCACTATCGTTAGTTTTCACACTTTAAATCACTAGGACATTCTAAGTCTTCTCAGTCTTCACTAGTCGTATCCTGGAAATGGATTTGTAACAGTCTCACTGTAACTAAAGCCCACATAAAGTCTTTTTTCACAGCGAGACTTTCAAGTCAACTGAACCTCAACCGTCTGCGAACTGCCATATCCAGAACTCTCAATCCAGTTCTTTGCGGCAGCCGTCTTATTGCCATCTCTTCTCACTTACTCTCAACTAATTCTCAGGTAGCCTGTGATGCTTGTTATATAGCCTCAGGGCAGACCCAACAGAAAACATCGTTTGTTTAGAGCTAGAAATAATAATACTAAATCTGAAATAAAAATTGTATATGGTAAAAAACAAATTACATCTATATCCAACCATGATACATATGTAATGGCCGTCTTGTAGTGCACTCAATTTCATATGTCGCTTCTTACTACATGTTTCGGCAACATAGTGCCATCTTCAGGTTCATTATTTATGCTAAGCTATTACATTGTTTGCAGTCTTGTGCCTTTCATAAAATTATTTAAAAGCACATTATTCATCAACTATAATAAAATTTGTATGTACTAAAACTTGTTAAGATTATTCATCTATATGTCTAAATTCAAACTCGCGTATAGTATGGTTCGTCCATTATGGGAGTCGTTTCTGTGTGTACTGTGTCTGTGATGTGTCCTTCCTTTTTGGCTGCTCAACGCTGTTATCACTATCACTGTCTGTCACTAATCACATGAGTTCCTGGAGCCACCAGTTATGATGTACGAGGGTAACTCAAAAAGTAAGTTACAAATGAATATAGGACTTAAACAAATAAGAGTACTGATATGAAAAATACTTTTATTTCTTAACATAATCTCCCTGTACATTGAGGCACTTGTCCCATCATTTCACAAGACCCTGAAAACCAGCAGCATAAAATTCTTTGGGCTGCTGTCGGAACCAGGCGGTGACTTCCCTTTCTACAGCTTCATCGTCGGGAAAATGTTCAGCCGAAAGATGTTTAAGAGGGCTGAACAAATGGAAGTCACTTGGAGCAAGGTTGGGACTATACGGAGGATGCACGAGGACTTCGCACTTGAAATTTCGCAGTGTCTCATTTGTCTTGTTGTCATGCAAGAGGAACACGCCTTTGGTGAGGAGTCCTGGTTGCTTCTGTTGAATGGCCTTACGAAGTTTCCTGAGGATGTTACAGTAGGAGTCGGCATTTACAGTTTGTCCTTGAGGCTGGAAT